TAATTTTATACCCCCTAAAAGCAAAAATAATTATTAGCAAGAATAAAAAAAACCTTAAGAGCTTTTACTATTTCAAAAATTATTTCCTTTCAGCAATAAAAAGAAAAAATGAAGTTTAAAATGATTTTTTTTTTAATTTCAAACTTAATGAATGAAATGTGTAATACCAGGGTAACCCGAAAAGTTATGTCAAAAAACTTTTTATTGACATTTTCGTATATACTTACTGAGATAAATACGAAACCAAATAGTCGATTTTAAAAATTAATTCGGATGTGTTACCATCTTGCATTAGCTTCCCATTAATCCAGGTTTTAATATCTAAATTGTTAACATCCGATATATATTCTTTAGCAACAACTGCAGGCCCTATCGGACAAAATGTGTCCATTGATTTTCCTAATAAAAACTGTCCATTATTTCTTTCTTTTTGCCAGTCGCGAGCACTAATGTCTTGGGCAACTGTGTATCCAAAAATATAATCTTTTGCTTGATCTGGTCTAACACCTTTTGCTTTTTTTCCTATTACTACGGCCAATTCTGCTTCCCAATCTACCATCTATAAAAGATCAAGAATTATTTTTCATCCTACTTAAGGAAGGAAGTGTTTCGCACATTGCTTATTGATGGTAATTGTACGTTGTCGTAAGGACCTACAATAACCGATGAAAATTTGCTAAAAATCATCGGCTCCGTTGGATATTTTAAGTTCTGTTCATCGCAATGACCTTTGTAGTTTAATCCAACACAAGCTACTTTATCCGGTTTAGTAATTGGAGCTAAAAGAGTGGCGCTCGTCAAGGGTATAACTGATTTACCCTGAGCTACTATTCTGAAATTATACAAATAAATCAAGCGTGATTATAATAGTAAATTCTGCATTGATTTTTAAATTAATACATTTCATTTATAAAAGGAAAATACGATAAATTGTAAATACTATCTGTTATCAAAATAAATAAGAAAAAAGTAATTATAAACAGGACTATTCAAGCAATTTAATGGGAGCCTGAATAGCCCTGTTGATAAATATTAGGGGAAGATATACGAAGGCAAAAAGTATTTATAATTAGTAGACATTTTTATATTTAGTTTAATTAACAACGACTGTTAATTACAAAATATATTTTCTCAGTAGTAGGACTCGTTAATCGAATAGGAAAATTTGATAAATGACAATTGTATTTACTAGTTGGATCCGTTCAGATTGAATATGTAAAATAAACAACAATGAAGTTAAAAAGAATTAAAGAATGAAACAATTTATGACTAAGTAGTAAAAATTTTTTAAACGAAAAGTCAATTAAATTTAACGACGGCCTACAAATTAGGTATCGTTATTTCGAAATTAAAATATTCACATTTGCGAAAGAATTTCTTATTATAGGTGTATTTCATTATGACTTTGTACTTATTTTGAATGGCTATTTATACATTAATGTACTTAGGTATAATAATTTTAGTCATATTGCATATTTGACACTTAATAGCATGTTTCTAAACCATTAAAATCGAAATTGGTAAAGATTTTCGAAAAGATTAAAAAGTAAATTTGAATAAACAAAGTCTTAAAAATATATATTTTCGTAAACATTATCAGATACTTATACTTTTGCGTCAATTTGAAAACGCGTCACTCTAATAAACTATTATTAAACTTAAGGAATTAATAATGAGATTTTTATAACCAAATGTTTGTAAATTATAGAATTTTTGAATTAAATGTTACAACAGCTGATAATAGAAATAGGAAACAAACAGATATGCATTGAATAGATTATATATACGTATAATCAGAAAAATGTGCAAAACAATAAATTGATTACTAAATAAGTATCATATGTTCATTGTCCTTAAAAAGTAATCAAAACAATTGCTATTTATACACCTATAACGAAGATACCTAATTTTTAGTTTGACTGATATAGATATATAATATTCATATAAACTGCACTTATAATTAAAAATATTCGAT